TTTCCTGAAAATTTCTTTTTTTTATGAGAAGTAAGAACATCTAAACAATAGAGTATCACACAGGGAGTTTCTCTTCTATGAAAATACCAAATATCGCTGACGCAACGATAACATCATGGAACTGGTCCAACTCAGGAAGGATATCCTCATCGATGTCAAATCCAGTTTGATGACCCGGTTTTGTACCTTTAACAAATCTGCAAAAACAAAAAACAGGAATCAGGCAAATAGAGCTCGATGGCCACGGAGTTAAGCATAGAAGCCACTGAGTTAAGCATTGAAGCTTACCCGCAATGCAACGTCATGGACTCTTTTATGTCAAAAGAGTTACTCCTTTGCTCAAGAGAAGGATAACCTCCGAAGTCAGAGCCTCCTTGACTTTCTTCGCGTTTTACAGGATTCTCGTCATGGATATATGTCAAATTCTTAAGCACAGGAGATTCAAATGGATGCTTTGGCATACTCGTTAAGGCCTCTTCTGGAGATAAATAGCATACCGGACACGCTGAACAAAACAAAACCGAAAAAGGTAAATGCAAGTTCCTCTGTCTGAATACAAGTATATCTATTTGACGAAAGAGCTTACGGCGTGGTCCAGGTCTTCTGAGTCCAGGTGGAGGAGGAGGCGGAAAGGAAAAACTATCACATGGATGAGGCAACGGGAGTGATGGAGGAGGATGGATGATGTCAACATCACTTCCTCTAATACCATTCCACAGAAAAGAATCTCCACCATGATCATTATTAGAGCTACCCGTATAGAAAGACGTCAATTCTCTACTTATCGGTGTTTGTTTGCTTCTGAAATCTATCGTCTCAATACGCTGACGAATATTTGGACTATTGCTCTCTGTTGTATCAACCAAATGCAAGCATTATCGAATCGAAAACCCATTGAATAAATCAAGATATCAAAAAAAAAAAATTTGAGATTAATTTACCTTTGTTGATAGTGTAAGAACCCAAGACAAAGACAACAAATGCAAGGCTGAGAAGTAGCAGCATTGCGACTCGTCTACGACCTAAGTACCAACAACATAAGAAGGAGAGAGATCTTTCCTTCTCTTTAGAGCTTGAAGTAAGCATTGTGGAAGAAGAAGAAGATACAGAGTCAAAAGCTCAAGGCTTGAGTAAGTACAATGAGCCATAACTCTGCAACTCCTAATGACATTCCAGTCATTGTCTCTTAAACCCTTCTAAATCGAATTCCCATATCCAAAACACTTTCTCAGATTCCTTCCT